CACCTCCAGTTAAAATAGCCATTAATGTAGCGGACATGCAATTTGGCCATCTTTTCTAAGCTGTAGGGTCTGGAGTCAGGATCGGCCACTTCATCATTTCATTTAAGCCTTTAAACATTTTATTGGATTGCCCACTTGTCTTGGTTTTAACTCATTTCTGTAGTTTGGATCAGTTCTCCTAAACCAGGGCTTCTCAGTGCCAGCACTGTCAGCGTTTGGGGCTGGATAACTTGGTTGTGATAGGCTGTCTGGTGCACTGTAGGATGTTTAGCAGCTGGCTTGGCCTCTTCTCACTAGATGCCAGTGGCATCCCCCCTCCCCAAGTTGTGAAAACCAAATATTGGCAGATGTCCCTGGGGGGCAAAATCATTCCCAGTTGAGAACTACTGTTCTAAACTTCCCTTTCTGTATTTTGCTATTTTATGTTTAACCTGAAAATGATTGGTTTGGTAATGTTGCTCTTCTGTTAAAAATTTAACGTAAAAATCTTACTGAAACTAGAATTTTTTTTAACTATAAATTGTTTTCTTTTTGGGGAAGATTAGCCTTGAGCTAACATCTGCCGATCCTCCTCTTTTTGCTGAGGAAGACTGGCCCTGAGCTAACATCCGTGCCCATCTTCCTCTACTTTCTATGTGGGACGCCTACCACAGCATGGCTTTTGCCAAGTGGTGCCATGTCCGCACCCGGGATCCGAACTGGCAAACCCCGGGCCGCTGAAGCGGAACGTGCGCACTTAACCGCTGTGCCACTGGCTGGCCCCTAACTATAAATTTTAAGATGAGGATAAAAACTGCTAGCAATCCCCAATAAAAGAGTTTTAGAGGAGTTTGGGTGTGTAAGAGAGCAGAAAAGGTTAACAGGCAAGCAAGTAGGTCAGTCTGCTTGATGACTACTTTATATTTTCAGCTAAAAAGAATGGAAGAATCTCATCAAGAAGCAACAGAAAAAGAAGTAGAAAGAATCTTGGGATTGTTGCAAACATATTTTCGAGAAGATCGTAAGTATGATACCAAGTTCAAAATGGAGAAGTTTGTATTTATCAGTTAGACGTGTCACTTTCAATGATAAATTATTTCTATTTAAAAGGCATTTTCAGGTATATGTGGTGTTTGAATTATTTTGGTTCTTTCTTGGCATATGTATTTAGTGAGCCTTCTCCCCGTTAGAAATCCCATGTGAGAACATTGGTGAAGTAACTTTGCATTGTTAGTTTTAAAAGATGGGGTACTTTGTCTGTTACAAAATAAAACAAGCCATAGAAGTGAGAAAAGTAAAAAGTCAAGTACCTATTCCACCTCGCCTCACTCCCCAGAGGTAGCCACTTGTAAAACGTGTATATTTGCAGATTATCTTATGTTTATGTCAGTCGCATAAGTATATAAGTACTTGGGATTCCTTGTTTTTTTAAATGCTTCTTTGAAAGCTAATCATAATACACATTTAAGAAATCTATTAGTCGATGACGAAGTTCTTTATAGCATTTTACTCTTGTATAAACGGCTGAAGTGAAAAATCTCATACACAGCTTTGTGCACTTGTATCGATACTTCTGGAGGACAGCTTTTAGAAGAGGGTTGCAGGTCAGTGGGCACACGTATTTTTAATAGACATGCCAAATTGCCCTCCACAAGGGTTGTATTGGCTTACATTCCCACAACAGGATAAGTCCCATTACCTTTCTCTGGCTAACACTAGAGAGTATTGGTCTTATTGATAAGCAAAAATTGCCTTTCCCGTTTTGAAGAATTTCTTCCTCTTTCGTCCATAGCGGATACTCCTATGTCCTTCTTTGACTTTGTGATTGATCCACATTCTTTCCCCCGCACAGTGGAGAACATCTTTCATGTTTCCTTCATTATAAGGGTAAGATTTAAGATTATTTCTTTGTTTTTATATGCGTTTAAAAGGATAAATAATAAATCTATAGATGGGAGCTGGCAAAGGTGTTTGTCCTAACCAGTATATATTTTAGACCCATTGTGGCAAAACATTAATTGACGTGTAGGCAGAAGAAATGAGCTAAAACAAGAAACAAGCGAAAAAATTGTGTGCTTGCTTTTATGTTTTAGAAATTATTTAGTGAAAGAATTGGCAAAATTTGAATATGGAACTATAGATTAGCTAACTTTCTGGTATAAATGTTAAATTTCCTGGATTTAATAGTTGTCATGTTATGTAAGAGAATATCCCTGTTCTCAAGAAACAGACACTGAGGTATCAGGGGACAGGGACAGGTTGCCTGTGGTTACCCTCATACAAATTAATAGTATAATTTATTTATAGAGAGAGTGGTAAAGTAATGTGGCAAACTCGAACAATTGGTGAAGTTGGGTGAAGGATGTATAACAGGTCTTTACAGTAGTCTTGTAACTCTTGAAGTTTGAAATGATTTCTTAATAGAAGTTTCAGAAAAAATGTACTATGGAAATTTGCTCTGTCTTTAGTCATATATCAGGTTGCATTCCTGCACACGTAAGATGAATTTGATTTTACACTTAGGCAAAAATCTTATATTGACCGAAGTATTTTCCTAGAAATGATAAAAAGGCATATTTTGCCAACAGTAAATGATATAATTATGCATAATAAAATGTGGAGTATTCAGAAATATGTCTGAATCAGTTAAAGAGGCAAAACATTTAGAGATCTCAGGATGGAGGCTATGTCTGGGTGAAAAGCTGATTTAGAAACCTGATAGATAAAGAAAGTAAAGATGTTAGAGAAGTCTTGTCCTTGTAATCTCCTCATTATTGTTATGATACATCCTGATTGTCTGAAATATAGAATTTTCTAATTAATATGTTTCATCCCATGGCAATAGGTTTTGAATCTAAATTTTAGTCTTCTCCTAAAATCATGTCTGTGTTTTAGGATGGTTTTGCAAGAATAAGACTTGACCAAGACCGACTGCCAATCATAGGTAAATGATACTATGTTCAGAAAAATTACTTTTAGAGAAAATATATTTGTTTTTAGAGTTTCTGAAATGTTTTTTACTAAATGTAAATAAGCTTTCATTTTAGGTAACAAACTTTTACAATGCTGTGCCTTGCTCAGCTGAAAATACTGAAAATGTGGTCATAGTTTAAAACCAATGGATTCATCTATGTCATTGACTCAACATCTACTGCTGTAAAGATTAATAAGAAATAATATAATTTCCCTCAAATGTTAATATAGAAAGTTTGTAATTGCAGTTATTTTTGTAGTTTCCTTCTTTCTGTTTTTCCTGAAGACAGCTCTGTCTCCTCTCCCTGAGAGAATCTTTAATTCTTAGTTAATAGTTTCACACTCTCCATCACTCTTTTCCTTCTAAGGTCTCCTGCAGAGAATGAAATATTGCATTGCCATTCTTGTTACTTTAAAAATCCTCAATTTCATATTGGACTCACTAAGGCATAGCTAGTGCAGAGGTTTTCAAATGATTAGAATGTGTTACTCTCCTACAACAACTCAGTGATGCATGAAATCCTGATAAGTATGTCATATGATAAGTATCGTTTCGATACAGGTTTCATTCCTATTATCAGTTTCTGTTCAGATTACCTCTTCCGATTTGATAACCTTTGAAAATTTGTCTTTTAAACAGAGCCTGTTAATATTAACGAAGAAAGTGAGGGCATTGACCAAAACACCCAAATTAGGAATCAAGGAATTATAGCTTTGAGTTATCGAGACTGGGAGGTAAAGCTCTGCTTGTTGCTCCGGGCTAGTTCTGTCCCTGACGTCATTTGCTGTAACCCAGTGCCCACATCTTCTTTGTTGTCTTCCAGGAGATTGTGAAGACCTTTGAGATCTCGGAGCCTGTGATTGCTTCAGGCCAGAGCCAGCAGAGGCTAAGTGCTTGACGCTAGCTGAAGGTAACATTTCCTATGGGACAGCTGCACATTTTTATTAAACTTGACTTGGCATTCCAAACCATCCTACTTTTTCACATTCTGGTGAAATTTGGATTTTGCCTCCCTCTAGTGCCCCATTCTTAGAACTGTGTGTACTGGTGAGAAAGGCAGAGCAGGACCTAGTGGTTGCAAATTTCCTTCTTTGGATTAATTACCTTGGAGTTATTAAGATTTGCCGTTGATAGAGGCAGAGCAGGAGTTTGTTCTTGGTTTGGCTCCCCCCACCCAACAAAGTGATAAATTAGATAAGTGGAATATTGAATCCTCCCATCAATTTTGTTCTCTGTCCTATTAGATTTGCTTATTTTATAGGTACAAAGTGGAAAAGGAGGATTAGGACAGAATTACCTTGGAATGATGTTACTAAATGGGCAATTCCGAAACTTGAGTTATGCTATGAAATAATGCTTCATTTTTGTGAAGGAGAACATTGCTAAAAGAAAATCTTAGTAATGGTCTGGCATTCTCTACTACACACAGCTATGGATGGGAATCAGGAGCCCTGGATTCTGTTGGCTCTGCCCCTGACTTTAAAACATTGGGCAAGGCACCTAATTTCACTTAGCTTCATTTTCTTTATCTATAAATCTACCTATAAAATGGGGGGCTTTTGAATTAGATTATTGCTAAGGGTTTTTTTCTTTTTCCTAGCTTAAATTTTCTATGATTTTGATATTAAAATTAGCTTTTTAGTACTTAATGTAAACGCTTAACGTGCCTCACTTAATTGAGCTTCTTTTGTCCCAAGATAATTGAGGGAAAGAGAACAGACATAAGATACGTAATGTGGGTTAACCTGGGCCCTACTCCCTAAGGAAGGACTAGTTAGATTTCATTTATGTATATTTAAATGAACTTTTGATTTATCATTTATAAACTGTTAACCAGCTATTTTTTTTTCCCTTTTTAGGACTCAAATGGATAGTGAGATCCAAAAAGGAAAGCAGCATGTATTGTATATATTGTATGATTAAACATTTTTAAAGACAGATTGTTTTTAGTAAAATGTAGCTTTTGATAGTTAATCAATTTGTCCTGGTTGTCTTTGATTAAAGGAAATTCACTGCCATATTCACAAATAATTGTAGTTACTCTTTATTTTCTGATCATGGGAGGGTTTCTCCTTTCCCTAGTCGTGTCCCATTGGAAGTTTTTTAGTTAGGTTGTTAATGGTTTATAGATTATCGTTCTTTTGACATCTCTTTAGTTGTAAAGTAGTCAAGTCAACAAATTATGGTTACGTTGAACCACATGAAATTGTTGTTTTTCTAAGTAAAACATCAAATATCAGCAATTTCCTATGACTCAGCCTGTGATTTACACACCGGAAAGTATTGAGTCCTCTGCCGAGCCAGGCTGGACTACTTTCCTAGCAGCGCCCCCTGGATCCATTTCACCAGCAGTCCTCTCTTTGCACACAGAGCTGCTCATCGCCACAGAGGAAACCATATAACGGAGTGGAGCAATGCTACACCCATACTTCTCGTCTTTGCTGAGCCTTCAGGTCTGTCCTTGATGTTTTCTGAGTCCCTAGTTGCTTCCTTTTCCCATTCCGCAACTTTCTACATCCATCTTTTCTCACTCCTCCTCTCTGGGATCAAGAGGTGGAGATGTCTCTTGTGTGGAAGGCTCTGGATTCTAGCTCTTCCTGCATCCTCAGGTCTCTGCTCTGTCAGTCATCCCCCCTCCATATCTATTGCTTTCCCTTCAACTATGCTCATTTCTCATCTGAAAACAATCGTTGTGACCCTTCTCAAGTGACTGTTCTGTCTTTTCTTGAACAAAGAATCACATGCTATCTCCCCTTTTGTCAGTCCTGAAACCATGCAGTGCAGCGCCTTCTTTGCCACCATTCTGCTGAGGCTGTTTTATGCCAAATTTATTAGCAGTTCTTTTGCGACCTGTTAAATCCAATGGATAAATGCTGTGCATTAGAAAATTTACTCCTTGAAAACTGTACATCCTGATGTCCTATGCTTTCCCTGGTTCGTCTTCCACCATCTTACTCATGATTTATACTACATCTGTATCCTGAACATTCCTAAAACTCTGACTAAACTTCTCTAAGAGGCTCCAGATATATGGAACCAATGGCTTATTTGACAGCGTATTAAACATATGTGTAACTCAGCCCCCAAATCTGTCCTCCCTATAATCCCTATGCTGGTACTTTTACTACTTTATATTGCTCAGAAAGAAACCTAGGATTTCTTTTCTCTTTTCCCTTCAACAACCTCTACCTTAATCAGTCACTGATTCCTATTTGGTCTTGATTCTTTCCATTTTTCCTGGGTTTCTGCCACAGACCCATTTGGTGCCCCCACTTCCTGTGCTTCAGATCTCTTCCACATCTTCAACAGTCTCTCAGTGATTCCCCGCTGCCTTCGAGATCTGAAAAGCCTGAGCTCTTCAGTGACTCAAAGCCTTGCATGATCAGGCGCTTTGCTTACATTTCTAGGCTCACTCTGTCCCCTCTAAACTCCAGCCATTTCTTTCATTTTGGTTAAACAACTTTATTGAGATGTACTTCACAGACCGTACTCTTCACCCATTTGCAGTGTACAACTCATTGTTTTTTAGTCTATTCACAGGGTTGTGCAACCGTCACCACAATCTAATCTTAGAACATTCTTGCCTCCCCCAACCCCATACCCAGTAGCAGCCACTCACCCTTACCTACTCCCCTCACCCTTAGCCCTAACCAACCGATAACCTACTTTCTAAATTTGCCTGTTTCTATCTCTATAAATTGCCTCTTCTGGACATTTCACATAAATGGAATCACACAACATGTGGTCTTAACATTAAGTTTTCAAGCTTGTGTGTTTAACAGAGTGCCTTCCTCTTTCATTTGTCTACTTTCTTCTTGTGTCAGTTTCTCCTTATGTAAGAAACTTAAAAGTGGTTACCTTTTACAAACCAAGGTGACAAAGCTGTTACTTTGCATTTTGTACCTTTCTGTAATTATTTGAATTTTCTAATCGTGCACTTTTTCATTATTTTTAAAAATTGTCAACAGAAGTTATCTGGACAGGGAGATCATGGGCCACTTTTTCTTTAAACTTTTCCATAATAAAAAAAAGTACCTAATACATGTTATCTTTAAAAAATCAAACTCATGTCACATCCCCAAGCCTTTCTTCTCTTCCAAAACTTTGTGTTTTCATAGCACCTTGTTCTTACCACAGTCATCCTGTGTGTGCTCCTCACGTTGTTTACTTGCTCGTGTTTTCCTGTGGAGTCCCCCCAGGGCCAGGTTGTGCCTCATTTCCCGTGCTGATGGTGGCTGGCAGGAGGTAGGCATTAGTGTTGAGTTTGGGCCATGCTTTCCTCCTAACTGCTCTGCCTGCCTAAGGAGTTATCCTCTGAGGTGCCTCCTCGGGCTCCACATCCCCCATAAATTGCCACCCTGCTCTCTAGTCCGTACTCTCAATATTGCTTTTATCCTATGGAATTGGACATGTGCTGCTTTGTTTTATTTCTTCCATTGTTCTTTTCCCCTTGAGGGGCTACATGCTAGAGTCCTGGATCTCTAGCAGGGCTAGAGCTTAGGCTTAGGTCTCTGACGTCTGTTACATTTTAGGTGAACTGGAGACAACACAAGACAATGTGTTCTTTGCATAATAGTGGTAACAGGCTTTCACATCCTCTGTCTATGTTTACCTCTGCAGAGAGGCAGCCAGGCTCTGTAGTCAAGATCAATTCAGGAGCTGTGAAACTGCAGGCTTTGTTCCTTATAAAAATACTTTAGTTTTTAAGAGCAGTTTTAACATAAAAGAACAATGAAAATTATAATGAAGGATAGAGGTGTGTGATAGACTTTTCAGAGTCTTGGAGTGCTAGATTAAAAAATGGCTGCAAACGTTTTTGAAAGGAAGAGTGTTGAATTTGCGCTGTCTTGGTGACTTGTTTGAGCGATAGAATGTGGCAGCAGTGATGTTGGCTAGGGACTTCTGAGGCGAGGTCATAAGAAGCCTTGTGGTGTCTGACAGGTCTCTTGAAGCCCTGAGTCACCATGTAATAAGTCCAACTACCACATGGCTCTGAAACCACATGGAGAGGGGAGGCAGAGAGAGGGACCAGCTAAGTCCAGCCTTTAGTCCACGCTGTCAAGGGCATGTAGGGGAGGAGATCTTTGGACTCTCCAGAATAGCCCAGCCATCACCTGAATATCCCCAAGCAGCTCCACTGGTGCCACGTGGGGCAGAAAAATTGCCCAGCTGAGTTCTGCCTGAATTCCTGGCACAGAATTGTGAGATATAATAAAAAGGTGGTAGTTTTAAGCCACTAAGTTTTGAGGTAGTTACACAGGTAGGTGAAATACTTCTGAACGCTGTGCTTGTGGTTTAACTTTTTTTCTTTCCAGTTTGATGTACTGAGAAAGAAAATTAGGGGGTATAGGATTTTACTGCACTAACAACTATGAAAGTATGCTAAAAAAGAAATACAATAATCTAGAAAACAATTTAAACTTATTTTTTTCTAGTTGACTTCTCAAAAACGGTGGCATACTCAAGACCTCTCTTCGGAGTGGTTTTTTAATTTGATCCTCTTCTTTTGACTTTTCCATCAGAACGGTCACTTCTAGAAGTTCTTCCTGGTAAGGCTGGGCAATTGGATAGGCTGTGACCCATTCAAATTCTTTCACTTCCTCTTTCTCTGCTTGAGATTTTCAGAAAGGAGGACCCCAGGTAGAGAGTTTCTGAGCGGCTCCTTTATCATTTCTTTGCTCTGTGAGTTGTCTCCCTCGAATCATTCGCTCTCGATGTCCCTTTATCTGTTTCTTTGCCCACGCTATCTTGTGCTTTTTGATTTTAGTTTTGGGTGTTTTCTGGATAGTTTCAGTCTTTTTGTCCTTCTCGAGTGTTAATATTTTGGGGAGAAGTGTTTCACTTGGAATTCTTTGAGGGAGTAGTCGATACTTGTGGTCCCTGAGGCCTCTGGCTCGTTCAGCTCGGTGTATGTGTTTCTCTATCTGGTTCAGCTCCCTCTCAGGCACTACATTGTCCCATTTTTTAGCATCTTTTGTTTTTTTACTTTGTGGTCTCTTTTCCTCTTTTTTAATTTCCCATTTTGGAATCATGTTGTATTTCCATGGGTTTTCCAGCATCATTTCTTGGTATCGTTGATAGTAGTATGCCTCTGCTCTGGCAAACCGGAAGTCAAAAGACATGGCCTTAAGTTTATGAAGTGTTTCATTCTCCTTTTGAAACTTTTGGGCTAACAGTTTCCTCACTTCTGAAGAATGGACACCACCTAAACTCTTGTCAAAGGAAAGTATTAGAACTTTTTAAGTTGGACGTCCTTTATTATATATAGTCCATGGCACAGATATCAAGTGGCTGTCAGCCCTGCCTGGCACCCCTGCACCATGCCCCACTTTGGGTCTCTTAACAGTGTTTCATGTCTTCCTTTTCAAACCTCCTGCAGTCCCTCCCCCCAGCACTCCCTCCTTGTTGAAGACTTTGCCTTAGGTCTCCTTGAGAAAACAGAAGCAGCCACTCAGGGGCACCCTCCTCGTCCCACTGCCAGGACAACCACGGTGCGTCATCCTGGACTCTGCCTTCCTGCCTTTAGGAGGGAAACGTTGCCCCTTCATCTATCAAAAGCTGATTTTTCCACCTGTGCTTTTTGAGCTTTAAGAACGTCAGTTTGCAATGATCAGATTCCCTTTCCTGCTTCATCACAATTCCCTGTCTGCTGGATCCACTCCATCAGCATAAATATGTGCTTCAGTATATGTCATCTTTAAAGAGAAAAGGAAAACTCTTCCTTTACTGCACATCCCTCTCTAGCTTCTAGCCATTTTTCGCTCCCATTCACAGTATAACTTGAAGCAGTTACCCATAACTCCACTCTACTTTCTCCCCTCACATTTTCCCCTCAATCCTCTTCTATTGGGTTTCTGTCCCCCCTCCTTCTCTGAGAGTGCTCTCGTGTAGGTCATGAGTGATCTCCATAGTGACAGATGCAGTGGTCTCATCTCTGTCCCTGTCATACTTGACCTCTCAACATCCTACAGAGGTGACCACTCTCTCCTCTTTGAAATAACTTTACTTCTGGCTTCCAGGCTATGGCCAGGGGCATGTGACTAAGGCTATCTTGGAACCCCTAGACTATTCCAGCCACTAGCTGAATATCCAAAGTGAATGAATATCCCCTCATTCTCTTCCTACCTCACGCCCACAACCTTCACCTGCTTTGCTGGTTCTGTCTTTTAAATATAATGCAGAAAATATTGCAGAGAAATTGTCACTTAAGATAGAGTGCAGTTACATTTAGGCTTCCTTGGACACCGACAGTCTCAATCATTCAACAAGGTGACCTCCCATGTGCCAGCACTGCTCTAGAGAGTGGGAATAAGAGATGAGCAAGACAGTCGAGGCACACAAGGCTACCCTGTGCACACCTCTCAAATTCAGACCTAGATACTGTCTACCAGACAGCTCCACTTGGCTCTTGCTCCTAAGTGTTTTCTTCAGTTTCCTCCTTCTCAATCCTGTCACTTCTAACTTCAAAATGCCCCGACCCTAGGGGAGCAGCCTAACCAGCTTCCCTGAATCCACACTTTTCTCCCTTTGCCCTCAGCCCCATCAGACCAGTCACACAGCAGCCAGAGTGATCTTTGTATTACATAAATCTGAGCACATCACTTTCCTGTATGGAAACTTGGGATAGCATCCTATCGCTTTTAGAAGAAAATCCCAAATTCCAGTATGGCATACATAATGTGGTTCCTGATTGCCTCTTCAGATAACCTCAGCTCCACTGCTTGCTCACCCTGCTGCAGCCACACTGACTTCTGTTCCTCAAAAACCATATTCTCTTCCCCACCTGAGTATTTTCATGTGCTCTTCCTTCAAATACTCCCAAACACACAATGTAGCAGCTCTATGGTCCTTATGTATATAATTTTTAGGTTTCAGCTTAAACATCACTTCCTCAGACCTTCCATATACTCATTAAAAAAAATCCCATCCTTTCATGACACTGTCACAATCTCTGGTAATTGTTTAATGTCCAGGTCCTTCAGTGGACTAAGCCCTGTGAGGGCACGGGCTGTGTTTATTTTGTTCAGTGCTATCCGGCCAGCACCACTGGTGGTCAGTGAACCAAATGCTGAACTAAACATAACAGGCAAAGCACTCTCCCTTGAGACACTCAGGCCCTTTACACCTTGGTGGTAAACTTTTTATGACTGTATTACTGGCTCCAAAGTTCATGGTAAATGTATTTCCTCACCTGAATCTTCTTTTCTAGTGGGGACTGGGAACCTACTGCAATCCGAGGGTCTTGAGTCTTTTTGGCCCAGGCCAGTCTGGAAGGTCAAAAAGAGAAATGATACTAGGATTTGGACAAAAGTTGCAGGAAACATGCTCTGGTGTGAATTGTATTAGGGAGGTGCTTTGGGACTCACTTTTCATATGTAGAAAAGGCGTTTCTCTGTGCCAATTGGCAGGACCCTACGATGTGTTTAACGTCCTCCATCTTTCCTTGAAGCAAAGAAGGAATGCTCTCTGATACAAGTATAAACGAAGAGCCACACTGCGTTTGAGGTTGAGACTGTCAGAAGCACCTTTATTTTAACACTGGAGAGGGGAGGCTGAGTTGCTATTTCAAATTCCACAAACCGCTGTTTGTGTATATTGTTGGTAGAACAAAGAACTTTGATGAGAAAATAAGTTTTCAAAGTTGGTAAGTCCATTTTAAGTTGTTATCCATAAAATTATTAACAATAAATATAATTTATAAGCTATCAATTTCCAACAACTATAACATGTTTCATGATTCTTCTCAAAGCCTTACATTGTAGATAATGAAACAATTTGATAGCAAAAAAGTTCCTTTTTTGTGTGTGTATGAGGAAGACTGGCCTTGAGCTAACATCTATGGCCAATCTTTCTCTATTTTATGTGGGATGCCACCACAGCATTGCCTGATGAGTGGTACTAGGTCCGCACCTGGGATCTGAACTTGTGAACCCCAGGCCACCGAAGCGGAGCATGCAAACTCAACCACTACAACACTGGGCCAGCCCCAAAAGTTTCTTTGTTATTTAACTTAGAGAAATTTGTCACTTAAGATAGAGCACAGTCCCATTTAGGCATCCACAGAACTTCTTATTTCTTAACCTGCTTAGTTAGCAAATAGGTTCTATGTTTAGCAATTTAGGTTGTAAATACTCTTTCTCTGACTTTCCTTAGCAGCAAAAGAGAAGGATTTTTACAACAGAACTGGAAAAAACAAAACTATATTTGCCTTTTAAATAATTTTTAAGCTAATTTCTTTAAAAGACATTTCTGCTTTTATATTTTTCTTCCCTACAATGTTCTTACATTATTTCCATAGCAACATTTATTGAGTTTACTATCCACTAGGCACTGTGCTAGGAACTTAAATGGATTCTTTTACATAATCTTCTGAACAAGCATTTCAGGCAGTTACTCATTAGCTCCCATTTCTCGGCAAGAAGGACTGAGGCCAAGAGAGGTTCAGTGATTTGTCAAAGGTCCCAGGGTTAGTTTCAGCTGCAGGATATGTGCCTGCGTGACTCCAAAGCACAGAGTTTTCATTCCTGTGCTACACTTGTTCCAGATACATGAACATTCTCCTGCCTTTACAAAAAATGGAAAGAAAATAATACCTACTGTTCTTCTGCACTCAGATCCAACCATTCTGAGTCTGTCACCGAAGGAGGGTGTGAGGGTGGGGTCTGGACTGCTGGTTGATCCTTCCATAGACCCCCACTGCCTCCTCTCCTCACAGCACTTTTGGTCACTTCCACTGTTCTTGTAGCCTCCTGCTGTTTCTCTTCGGTGTCTTTTGTTTTAGCCATTGCCCTATCTATTGCCAGCTTTATGAACAACATCGTTGCCGTTCACTCTTTTCCTTTGATCATCTGCTCTCAGTTCTACCCTCTAATCTCTCATTCTCAGAACTGCAAAGTACTGTTTTCCAGCCATTAAGCTTTCTGGCCTTCTTTCAGACTTTCAACTATCTACTGTTGAGCCTCTGGGATGCCTTGGTTGATTTCTAGGGCAACGAGAAGCAGTCACAAGCTTTTCTGTGTCATCACTGTCCTAGATTAAGACTACTGTGAGGTGGTAGGTGAAGACATCGTCTGGTTGGCAGGGAATGAACTTCAGTGTAAGCTCAGCTGAATGGCCACAGACAGAAGGTAGAAGGAGCTATGTTTCACAGACATAGGCATCCCATCTCAGTGCGGTTAGAAGCACCGTTCAAGGCAAAGGAGCATCTTTTTCATTTTTGTTCTTTTTTGGAATATATATTGAATATCTTCCATGGAAATGCAATCGGTGAACCTCACAGTGGACCCGGCACACACACTCACAGTAGTTGGTGGAGGTCTGACAAGTGTGTGGATGGCCCAGTCACGTGATCTCCTCCTCATTTAGCTGGTGTGTCATAGCTAAATACTGCTGCTGCTATGGAGGTATTGAGCTTTAATACTGTTCAATAGACTTTTAGTTACATGTTGTTTAATTATGTTCATTACTGGTCATTAGTTAAAGAAGGAGAAAATACACCAAGGTTGAAATACAAATTAATGAAAATGATTCTGTATATTCACTTCAAGATACTCTTTACCCTATATGTAAGCTGCGTCTATCCAAAGTCCTCATGTAGCCCACTAAGATGTCTTGGGTTCTTTAAAAAAATGTGAAAAGGAGACAATATAATGATTAATTACAACCTGGCTTCTTATTTATTAGAAATAAAATCTATCCTTTCCAAAATGTGCTGTTTGTAAAGATGTGCTTGAAACTGTAGCCCCAAACATATTCAGAAATAAAACAGAATTATAAAAGTAAATACGGGTATTTTATGGATAAAAAAAATCAGAATATCAAACAGCAAGTCGTGATAGTTTCTATTTTCATAACAAAGCACTTAATTAAATTTCAGTCTACACTTTAATATTCATTTTCTTCCCAAACCAAACAAGATACCATTTTAAAACCAACAAAAAGTCATGCTGCTCAGATGTCAAACTCATGTGATATTAATTCAGGCAAAATTTTTATAGCATCTGTGACCTGACAGCATTGTATTACCACTACAAATTCCTAATATTTATTGAATATGAACCAGGCACTGTGTGAAGTGCTAAAAGGCAATATCTATTTATCCCACTGTGAAAAAAGAATAATAGAAGACTCTTTTTGGATAAAGAAAAATATGCAATTCTTAATATGAGCCTCTCTTTAAGTAAGCAGTCAATTAAAATAAAACATAAAGACAATCACGTGGACCTAAAAGTACTTTTAATTTAAGTACTATGTTGTAAATTATTTCTCTTTCCTGATAAGAGAAACTGGGGGGATAAAGAATATTTATAAGCCAGGGAGATAGAACCTTTTTGATAGCAAATCATTTTGAAACAACCTATGAGCAAGACTAGATTTTGCCCTAACATAAGCAAAAGATGGCCTGAGTTGGGTTTTTCTGTGATAAATATAAAAACAAAAGGACTTTGCTAATGAGTATTTTATCATATAGCTAAATTTTAATCCTTTGTCAAAATCATGAAATATGTTCAAATAGTTATGAGAATTCCTAGCCGGGGAAGGAGATGATGATGTTTCCTGAACCAAAATTATTGTTAACCACTTAGGTCACTGAACTTGAAATAAACTTCATAGTGTTATCACAGGTCAACTTCTGGCATTGGAAACAGCACATTGCCTGCTGTCTCCATTTTGCAGGAGTTTGAAAACAAACAAATAACAAACAAAAGTGCCTCTGAGAGTATCTAAACATAGAACACTGACACTCCAACCACCCTATGAGGTATTGTTATTACTCTCCCCATTTTCCGTATGAGGCAATGGCGGCTAAGAGAGTTAAGTGATTTGTTCAAGGTCACATAGCTGCCAAGTGGGAGACTGAAAATTGAACACGGATGTCTAAAAGCAAAGCTCGTGATCTTAAGCACGTGCCATCTCACCTAACCTTGGAATACTGGAGGAGTGGAAGCATTGTCCTTACCTTTGAGGAGCTTAGTACTACTAGGGAGACAAGAAATGTATGCAGGTGCACACATGACATAAAGGTACAAATGGGATGCTTAAGTATGGGGGCGGGGAAACAAAGGGCAGAAGTCATTAGTGTGAGGTGGGACTGAACAAGGAGGACATCTTGGGGAGCACATTTCGAGCAGAGTGGCAGAAACGTCAGAGACTCCCCTGAGACCAGCCAAACAAGAGGTGACTCAATCAGAGTAGTTGTTAACTAGAGAAGTTGCACATGCGGAGTACCATACAGAGGGAGGGATGCTGGAGGCCAGAATATAGAGTACAGTATGTGAAGAAGGACACTGGAGACAGAATGTGACCTAGAGGAATTTCTATGACTTCCCCAAACAAATAGAGAACCATGAAATGTTGTTAATAGGAAAGTGATTAAAAAGAAGTGGCACTAGAGAAAAGATCCCAAAACTGTAGGGCCTAGAAGAGAGATAAGTAGAGAACTGGAGTTGTAAGAATTTGGTTCTAGACCAGCATTGTTCCACAAAAATATAGTGTGAGTCACAGATGTAATTTAAATTTTTCTAAGAGCTACATTTAAAAAACTAAAAAACAAATCAGGTCATATTAATTTTAGTGATATATTTTATCAGGACATATTATCTCCAGGACATACAAAATATTATCATTCCAACATGTAATCAATTAAAAAATTTCACACTTTTTAAATAAATAATTTTTTAAGAGCAGCTATAGGTTTATAGAAGTATTGATCAAAAAGTACTCTCTCCCTCAAAGTTCCCCTACTTATATTTTGTATTAGTGTGGTACATTTGTTATAATTGATGAACGAATATTAATACATTACTATTAACCAAAGTCCATAGTTTACATTGTTTCACTCTTTCACTGTTGTACATTCCATGGGTCTTCACAAATGTATGACAGGTGTTAATCATTACTACATCATACAGAATGGTATCACTGCCCTGAAAAACCCACATATTCTGGCTATTTGTCCCTCCCTCACTCTGTGCCCTAAACCCCTAGCAACCACTGCTCTTTTTACTGTCTCCATAGTTCTGCCATTTTCAGAATGTCATATGGTTGGAATCATACAGTATGGCTTTTTCATACTGAAAAGGCTTTTTCAGATTGGCTTACTTCACTCAGTAAATATGCTTTTAATGTTCCCTATGTCTTTTCATGGCTTAATAGGTCATTTCTCCTTATTGCTGAATAATACTCCATTGTCTGGATGTTCCACTATTGGTTTATCCATTCACCAATTGAAGGCCATCTTGGTTGCTTCCAACTTTTGGCAATTATGAATAAAGCTAGTATAAACATTTGTGTGCAGGTTTTTGTGTGGACCTAAGTTTTCAAGTCATTTGGGTATATACCAAGGAGCACAATTACTGGACAGTATGGTAAGAGATATTTAGTTTTGTTAAGAAACCACCAAACTGTCTTCCAAATGGGCTGTACATTTTGCATTCCCACTAGCAATGAATGAGTTCCTATTGTTCCACATCCTTGATAGTATTTTGTGTTGTCAGTGTTATAAATTTTAACCATCCTAATAGGTGTGTAACGGTATTTTATTATTGTTTTAATTTGCAATGCACTAATGACATATGATGCTGAGCATCTTTTTGTAGGCTTCTTTGCCATCTGCTTATCTTATTTGGGAGGCATCTGTTCAGATTTTTTGCTCATTTTTACTGGGTTGTTTTTCTTATTGCTGAAAAATTTAAGAGTTCTTTGTATGTTTTAGATAGTAGTCCTTTATTAGATATGTTTTGCTAAGATTTTCTTCCAGTCTGTGTCTTGTCTTGTCTTTTCATTCTTGTAAGTGTCTTTTGCATAACAGAAGTTTTTTTTTGTTTCGGGTTTTTTTTTTGACCCTGAGCTAACATCTGTGCCAATCTTCCTGTATTTTCTGTGGGATGCTGCCACAGCATGGCCCGACGAGCAGTGCTAGGCCCACACCTGGATCCGAACCTGCAAACCTCAGGCTACCAAAGTGGAGTGGGTGAACTTAACCACTATGCCAGTGGGCTGGCCCCAGAAGTTTTAAATTTCAATTAAGTACAACTCAATTTTTTATTTCATAGATCATGCTTTTAGTGTGCTACCTAAAAAGTCATTGCTAAACCCAAGATCATCTAGATTTTCTACATTATCTTCTCAGAGTTTTTAGTTTTGTGTTTTACATTTAGGCTTAGGATCCATTTTGAGTTAGTTTCTGTGAAAGGCATAAGGTCTGTGTCTAGATTTATGTGTTTTGAACGTGGATGCCCAGTTCCAGAACCCTTTGTTGGAAAGACTATCCTTTCTCCATTGAATTGCCTTTGTTCCTTTGTCAAAGGTCAGTTGACTGTATTTGTGTGAGTCTACTTCTGGGCTTTCTACTCTGTTCTATTGATCTTTTTGTTTGTTCTTTAGCCAATACCACATTGTCTTGACTGCTGTAGCTTTATAGTAAGTCTGAAAGTCTGGGAGTGTCAGTGCTCTGACTTTGTCATTCTCCTTTAATACTGTTTAGGTTATTCTGAGTCTTTTGCCTTGCCATATAAACTTTAGAATTAGTTTGTTGATATCAACAAAACAACCTGCTTGGATTTTGACTGGGATTACATTGAATCTAAAGTTGGGAAGAAATATCTTAAGAATATTCATCTTCCCATCAATGAACATGCATCATCTCTCCACTAACTTAGATCTTCTTTCATTTTTTTGATCTGAGGTTTGTTTTCCTCATATAGATCTTGAACATATTTTGTTAGATTTATACCTAAGTATTTCACTTTTTTTTTCATGGTGCTAATGCAAATGGTATTGTGTTTTTAACTTCAAATTCCAATTGTTCACTTCTTGTATATAGGAAAGCGATGGACTCTTGCCTAGTAATCTTATGTCCTGCAACCTTGCTACTATTGGTTATTAATTCCAGGAGATTTTTGTTGTTGTTATTGATTCTTTGGAATTTTCCATTTGGCCAATCACATCCTTTGAGAACAAAGACAGTTTTACTTATGCCTTCCCAATCTGTATACTTTTTATTCCTTTTCTTTTTTATTGCATTAGCTAGGATTTCCAGTATCATCCCGAATAGGAGTGGTGAGACGGGACATCCTTGCTTGTTGCTGATTTTATTGAGAAAGCATCTGGTTTCTCATCAAGTACAATGTTAGTTGTAAATTTTTTTAGACATTCTTTATCAAGTTGAGGAAGTTCTTCTCTACTCCTAGTCTGCTGAGTTTTTATCATGAGTGGGTGTTAGATTTTGTCAAATGCTTTTCCTGCATCTATTGATATGATCACCTGATTTTTCTTCTTTAGCCGGTTGATGTGATGAATTACATTAATTGCTTTTGTAATGTTGAACCAGCCTTGCATACTTGGAATAAATCTTAGTTGTTGGTGGTGTATAATTCTTTTTATACATTGTTGGATTCCATTTACTAGTAGTTTGTTCAGGATTTTCCCATCTATGTTTATTAGAGATGTTGATCTGTACTTTTCCTTTCTTGTAATGTCTTTGTCTGGTTTTGGTATATAGGTAATGCTGGCCTCATAGAATGAGTTACAAAATTCCCTTTGCTTCTATTTTCTGGAAGAGACTTTTGAGAGTTGGTATAATTTCTTCCTTAAACATTTGGTAAAATTCACCAGTAAACTCATCTGGGCCTGGTGCTTTCTAGTTTCAAAGCTCATTAATTATTGATTCTATTTCTTTACATATAGGCTTATTCAGCTGATCTATTTCTTGAGTTTTGGTATTTGTGTCTTTCAAAGAATCAATGCATTTTCTCTAGGCTATCAGATTTGTTCACAACATTCCTTTATTATCCTTTTAATGTCCATGGGATCAGTAGTGATGATCCTTCTTTCATTTCTGATATTGGTAATTTGTCTTCTTTTTTTCTTAATTAGTCTCACTAGAGGTTTAGCTCTTTTATTAATCTTTTCAAAGAACTAGCTTTTAGGTTTGTTTTTTCTATTGATTTCTTATATTCAATTTCATTTATTTTTGCTTTAATTTTTGTTATTCCCTCTTTCTCCTTATTGTGGATTTAATGTGCTCCTCTTTTTCTAGTTTCTTGAGGTAGCAGCTTAGATTATTGATTAAAGAGCTTTTTTCTAATATATGCATTCAATGCTATAAATTTCCCTCTAAGCACTGCTTTTGCTGCATCCCACAAATTTTAATAAACTGTATTTTCACTTAGTTCAAAATATTTCTAAATTTCTCTTAAAATGTCTTCTTTGACCCAAGTGCTATTTAGAAGTGTGTAGTTGGGGCTGGCCCAGAGGCACAGTGGTCAAGTTCAGCACACTCCACTTTGGCTGCCCAAGGTTCGCAGGTTTGGATCCAGGGCATGGACCTAGACCACTCATCAAACCATGCTGTGGTGGTGTCCCACATACAAACTAGAGGAAGATGGGCACAGATGTTAGCTCAGGGCCACTCTTCCTCAAGCCAAAAAAAAAAAAAAAAAAAAAGAGGAAGATTAGCAGCAGGTGTTAGCTCAGGGCCAATATTCCTTACCAAGAAAATAAAATAGAAGTGTGATGTTTAATCTCTGAGTATTTTTGAATTCTCCAGCTACCTTTCTGTCATTGATTTCTAGTTTAATTCCACTGTGGTTTGAGAGAATACTTTGCATGACTCCTATTCTTTTAAATTTGTTAAGGTGTTTTTTAATGGCCCCAAATGTTGTCTGTTTTGTGAATGTTCCATGTGAGCTTCAAAGAATGTGTATTCTGCCACTGTTGAATGTATTCTATACATATCACTTAGATCCAGTTGATTGATGGTGTTGAGTTAAATTATGTCCTTTCTGATTTTCTGCCTGATGGATCTGTCAATTACTGATAAAGGGGTGTTGAAGTCTCTAACTATAATAGTTTATTCATCTATTTCTCTTTGCAGTTCTCAGTGTTTACCTCATATATTTTACCACTCTGTGCCAGATCCATACACATTAAGGACTGTTATGTCTTCTTGGAGAACTGACCCTTTTATCACTAAGTAATGCCCCTCTTTATCCCTAATTTTCCTCACTCTGAAGTTTACTTTGTCTGAAATTAATGTAGCTACTCCAGCTTTCTTTTGATTAGTGCTATCAACAACACACCTTTCTCCATCCCTTTAATCTGTTTTTATATTTAAAGTGGGGTTTGGGGGTAGATAATATAAAGTTAGGTTTTATTTTTTTTATCCAGTCTGACAGTCTCTGTCCTTCAATTGGTATATTTAAACCACTGACACTTAAAGAGATTATTGATACAACTGGATGAATATCTACCATATTTGTTATTGCTTTCTAGTCATTGCTTATGTCTTTGTTTGTCTTCCACTCTTTTTCCGCCTTCTCTGGTTTTTTTTTTTTTAATTGAGTTATTGATAGGTTACAATCTTGTGAAATTTCAATTGCACATTAACGTTTGTCAGTCATGTTGTAGGTGCACCACTTCACCCTTTGTGCCCACCCCCCACCCCACCTTTCCCCTGGTATCCACTAAACTGTTCTTAGTCCATAATTTTAAATTCCTCATATGAGTGGAGTCATACACAGATTATCTTTCTCTCGCTGGCTTATTTCACTTAACATAATTTTCTCAAGGTCCATCCATGTTATTGCAAATGGAATGATTTTCTTCTGTTTTGCAGCTGAGTAGTATTCCATTGTATATATGTACCACATCTTCTTTATCCATTCGTCTGTTGCTGGACACTTAGGTTGCTTCCACGTCTTAGCTATTGTAAACAGTGCTGCAATAAACATTGGGGTGCATAGGACTTTGGGGATTGCTTACTTCAAGCTCTTTGGATAAATACCCAGTAGTGGGATGGCTGGATCATATGGTAGTTCTATTTTTAATTTTTTGAGGAATCTCCATACTGTTTTCCATAGTGGCTGCACCAGTTTGCATTCCCACCAGCAGTGTATGAGGGTTCCTTTTTCTCCGCAACCTCTCCAACATTTGTTGCTATTAGTTTTAGATATTTTTGTCATATACAGGTGTAAGGTGATATCTTAGCGTAGTTTTGACTTGCATTTCCCTGATGATCAGCGATGATGAGCATCTTTTCATGTGCCTATTGGCCATCAGTATATCTTCTTTGGAGAAATGTTTGTTCATGTCTCCAGCCCATTTTTTGATTGGGTTGCTTGATGTTTTGTTGTTGAGTTGTGAGAGTTCTTTATATATTATGGATATTAAGCCTTTCTCAGATATATGACTTGCAAATATTTTTTCCCAGTTAGTGGGTTGTTTTTTCGTTTCAATCCTGTTTTCATTTGCCTTGAAGAAGCTCTTTAATCTGATGAAGTCCCATTTGTTTATTCTTTCTATTGTTTCCCTTCTCTGAGAAGGCATGGTGTCTGAAAAGATCCTTTTAACACTGATGTCAAAGAGTGTACTGCCTACGTTTTCTTCCAGAAGCCTTATGGTTTCAGGTCTCACCTTTAGGTCTTTAATCCATTTTGAGTTTATTTTGGTGAATGGTGAAAAAGAATGGTCAATTTTCATTCTTTTACATGTGGCTTTCCAGTTTTCCCAGCACCATTTGTTGAAAAGACTTTCTTTTCTCCATTGTATGCCCTCAGCTCCTTTGTCAAAGATAAGCTGTCCACAGATGTGTGGTTTTATTTCTGGGCTTTCAATTCTGTTCTATTGATATGTGCACCTGTTTTTGTACCAGTACCATGCTGTTTTGATTACTGTAGCTTTGTAGTATGTTTTGAAGTCAGGGATTGTGATGCCTCCCGTTTTGTTCTTTCTTCTCAGGATTGCTTTAGAAATTCGGGGTCTTTTGTTGCCCCAGATGAATTTTAGGATTCTTTGTTCTAATTCTGTAAAGAATGTCATTGGGATTCTGATTGGGATGGCGTTGAATCTGTAGATTGCTTTAGGTAGAATGGACATTTTAACTATGTTTATTCTTCCAATCCATGTA